TTTTTTTTTTTTTCCAATATTTCAAAAGGAAAAAACACCAACTTCATTTTTTTTACATTTTGTTTGCTTAAATTCTGATAAGAATTTTTTTTCTTGAAAACACAACACTCACCTTTTCAGCACTTGAATGAAATGCAACAGCAGTTTCCAGCCGGTGCACTCTTTCGTCAGAAGTTACTGTAAACTGTTTCCACACTCTGTTCAGTCTTGGAAGTGTGTCCCCTGAGGACCTTGAAGTGCATCGCAGGGACTGGCACAGGACAACAGTTGCCTGCAGTAACTGTCTCCCATAATCATAAGTACTCTAAAAGTTGGAGGTGATGGAAAAGTAAGTACACACAAAAACTCTGCATTTAACTAATTAGAGCTAATTAGCATCTTAAAACAACAGCAGACAAGTTTATGAAACCTTCTCAATTTAGATCCACAAGTATATTGAACTAATCTAGTCTACTAAAAAATGCTGGTGAAGTATGAATAAAATTGTAATAAGCAAACTATGCTTTTGCTCTTTAAAAAAATTAAAAAATAATCCCTCAGGAAACAGAGCTTCCTTAAAATATCAAACAGCTGCTTGGATCTTACATGGGATACTTGATATCTACTGCCAAGACGACTCTCTCACTGACTTCACTGTCACCATGTTTGTGGTCACCCAGCATCCAGGTGCATCACAGTAGCAGTAAGCTACCCTCCTGTCATTGTCAGTTCTAATTCATCAAGAGAGACATCAGTTCCAGCCTTAACAGGTGCAATCTGAAAACAACACATCTGCTAATTAGCAAGTCTGAATTAGACACTCCTAAAAGGAGTATACATCTGAGAAAGCACCTGGAAAAGGCCCAGCTTGTACATTTTCTATTCTTAAGTGAAATGCTTTCACATGTACCTGGTAACTGTTCACATATTCAAGATTTGCAAACAGGAGTGCAAACGTGCCCTGTGGCTTCAGTGAATTTCCGTAGACTCTTCTACAGCAGGATTCATTAGTTTGCTGTCAATTCTATTCAACCACTATCTCTGCTTGTGCCAAAACTCCTTGTATGAGCAGGACCATCAGACACAGACAGTCAACTCTATCTGGTAAACCAATATAAAGACAGGCTCTGTTTCATGAAGTACAGCACAAAATAGACCAAAACTAAGGTGCTCATCCATATTTCAGTATTTTGACTGCAGTCCTTCAAAAGTCTTTATAAAGACTGTTTGAAATATAGGCCTTTTAAGAATGTCAATGTAAACTTTATGTTTTGTGGTTTGCATTGTGGAATAAACTAAGGTAGCAAACTGCAACATTACTGTTGTTGATGGAACTTCACCTGTGCAACATCAACAAATTTTCGATGTTTCTCCAGCAAAACTTTTGTTTCTTGAGAATCATCTCCCAATCGGATGTGTGTCTTCAGCAGAGCATCCAGCAGTTCACTTAACCATTCTACTGCCTTAAAAATGTAATTAAAAAGAATAAAAATTAGAAAATTAAACAGAAATTAATCCAGAAGCATAAATTACTTCAGTACCAGCATATACTTCTGCTATGGAAAAAAGTTAAAAGAGATAACACAAACTGGAAGATCATGTATGCAATCACCAAATATGCTATTTTCAGTCATTGCTATATTAATTTATTTTCACTGTACAAAATAATAAAATAAAACTACATTTGAAAGTGACAAAAATAATACTGTGCAACTATCAATTCCCATAAGTTTAGTCAGTGGGCTACAAAGACCAAAATGATGAATTTCTGTATGTATTTCCATACCTGAGCAGCATCCTCTTCACATTTAAATAACTGTACCATCTGAAGCATCTTCAGTCGCCGCACGTCCACCATATCTTCACACCTTAAACAGTAGCACGGACAGACTCACCAACACTTGCAGAGCAGACACAATGCACTCTGACAGCAATGTTTTCAGTGAGCAACATTAAGATACAAGTGTTCATGAAAAGGCAAGTAAGGCACTTCTGTGCTGCTTGGCCTGGCCAAAATACGTAATGCCTTGCTTAACAATAAGAAACATGCAATAAATAGAACTGAGCACTACAACCCACCAAAATCATCATCCTCAAGATTTCCAATATGGCTAAGGTACAGACAGTAATACCAGCAGTAAGTACAAAGCATTGCAGGTTCCTTACCATGTTGGATTGGTAAGATTTGCCCCCACAGAGGCCTGCAGGGCTCAGACTTTATACTACTGAAGTCTAGGTGAACGCTGGCTTAAACCTGGCATAACTCTGAATTGTACTGTAAGCTGGTAGCAAAGTTTTCTTGGTGAATGAATGAGCACTGTTTAAAAGATGTTAATACACCTTTCCATATTTCTTTTTGGCTAACTAAAGATTGTAATAATTGAACCTTTATACGATGATGTCCTTTGTTATACCGCGTCAGGAAGCATTAGAATTAGTTTCTATATGAATTAGATTTTCAAATTCTCTTGTTCTGCAGTAAGCATATTTTTAAGTTGGTTCTCTAGTTAGAATTTTAAAAAGTACTGAAGTCCCTTTCCTTCCACAGTGAGAGCTAAGCTTTAGCAGTATGACCTTTCCACTTCAATTTCAGAGCCCACAACGCAAACAGCAAGATCCAGACTCCTGTCCAGTGCAAATGAAACTACCAACAGCAACAACAGTTAGGACTATAAGTGAATGCAAAAGAAGGTATGCACAGATCTATTTTTTTTTTCTAAACTGGTTGCAAACATAAGCACTTCCAAAGAACAGTTTGTTAGTGTGCTTTGTTTTGTTACATGTCCTGTAGCACTGAGATGCTTACAGAAAGGAAATTTGTTGCTCTAATAATGCAGGAAAAAAAATTAAGGGTTCCAGAATCATAATCAAAGCAGTAAAAAGCCCCTAGAAAGAAACATTATTTTATTATGTGTATACAAATAATGATAAATGTTCAATAGTTTGGGAAAAAAAGTAAAAATGAAGTGTCACAAAAATTATTATTAAATGCTGAGAGACAGTAGTAATTTTTTGTCTTTCATCTGGGCTGAAGAACCTTGTTTAATCATTCATCATCTGGAAGCTGCTTCTCACCTTTGTCTGAACCTCTCACTGATTTATTGGTCCTGTAATTGACCTCCCACAATTCTACATCCCTTCTGAGAATAGGGACCAGAATTGTTTAACACTTAAAGCACAAATGAACTACAAATCTATGCAGTGAGGCAATGACATTTTCCTTTGAGTTTTCCATTACTTTGCCAATAATACTTAGCATTCTACTTGCTTCTCACAGTCTGATTGCACATTAAAGCAATTTTTGCAAGTTTTCCAATGTTTATCTTTGAGTTAACATCTGGTTCAGACTCCATTACTCTGTATACAAAGTTTTTCCTTCTCCCATGTGCATACTGTGCCATTTTATTGCACAGTAACACATAGTCCTCTATAGGTCTTTGCAGTTGGCCCTCTAAACACAGGTACTGCTCAAGTAAAGAGGGTTCAGAGGACATACTTAAAACAGTATCTTCTCTAAGCATTACCAAAACACATGGTTTCTTACACACTATGCTCCCTAAGAAAACAATTTGTAAGTGGAAGAATTAATTCCTAAAATGAGCAACCTGATGCTCATTAGACCTTGTCATTCCTTAGAGGCACCTTTTCGTTTAGCCATTGCCCTCAAAGTTTAGGCACTTTCTATGGAGAAATGTTTATTGTCTCAGGGGTTAAAGAGAGGATAAACAAGTCTGTACACAATTAATACACAATTTTAGAGCCATTATCACTATTATACTCTTATTCGGTAACTCCATACGAAAGGAATGTGCAATTCTTGAGCATTTACAAGTAAGAAAAGCACTTAAATACTCCATCCAGTACTGAAATACAAAAGGTGCTTGGATTTAGGAATATGCTCCAACAGGGAAGCTTCTGTCCCAGTATACCATATACCACAAATATAAATCACAGTTGTACTACATCCTGTAACTGAAGATAAAGCGAAATGGTCTCTTTAAATAATTATATATATATAGTGATCTATTGTCATACAAAAATCCTGATGACTAGAACTGTTATTACCTTTGTTTTCTAAGCTGCATATCTTCCATTACTCCTTGGATATGGTCCACATTTTCTTTATTTTCAATGGTTACATCTTTTCCATAGGCCCAGGATGCCTGATTAGATATCTGATCAAGAAGACTTTGACCTTTCTCACGCAAGCCTTGCAAGCCTGAGTCTAAAGAAAAAAAGAAAAAAGAATGAAAAAACTCAGTGGACCACTGCTAATATTTACCACTGCTAAGCAGCTGTAGTCTAAATGTTCTTCCATGGCCTGCAGAAGTTACTACTTCATAACACATCTGATAGGGCTGAAAATTTTTCTATATTGAAATATGCCAATACTTAGAATCTGATGTTACATCTATTATTGGCAGCTTTACTACCTGTTTTCTTAAGGAAATATGTAGTTTATGCATAAAACTGTTATATTGCAATCATAACTACTTTTACCACATATGATTTTGCTTCAAAGCTCTTTCCCCTAACAAAATATTGGGCTAGATGGTCCTTGTCACTTCCAACTGAAATACTCTATATGTTTGACAGTGTAACAACCTTAAATGCCACTTATAACATACACATTCAAAGCTATGCAAAACACCCAGTACAAACATTCTAAAACTGAGTGGCTAACAGTCTTAATCATCAATGGGTCTGTTCTGGAGACAAACAGATCAGCTAAGCACTACATTCTCAACATACTAAGGATGATTGAGGGGGGAGTGAGGTTTGTTTACAGATTAAATGCATGGTAAGCGTATATAACAAATATATATATATTACATGTGAAACATATAAAAGACCACGTTTCTAGATAGTTTTCCCAGATAGAACTGCTATGCAGTAGATAGCTAAAGCAAGATAAGAGAGTCAAAGATAGTTAGGTGCAGCATTACTTACTTATGACTCAGAGGAGATAGAAATTATTTTTTCTGCTGGTTGTTGGGGGGGAAAGGGGTTGGCTTTTTGTTTTTAATAGGAAGTGGTGGGATTATTAGAGTTTTTCCTGTAATACATTCATTCAAATGTGTTTATCTGAAATCTTTTGCTTACCAACACTTTTCAATTTCTCTTCCAGTAGTTTTAAAGTTTGTTGAATTGATGCTCCATCTGCTGGTGCTACATCTACACACAGCATTCCTAGTAAGCCATCCAGCTGCTGAGACAACTAAAATGAAAAACAACATAAGAGTTGATATTTATAAAGAAGTTTGACCTTCTGATCCTTGGGTCTTCAATCTTTTTACAAATATTTGGAAATCTGTCATTTTGGAAATTACTCTTTCCATCTATAGGAAATAAAATCAAGACAAAAAATAAATGACCCGCCTGACTATAAAAATCTGAGAACATATATCCCCAGACTGCGGATACGGAGGAAGACAAGTTTGTTGTTTTATTTTTTAACAGGTATAGGAAAGGAATAAATGCCTATTTAAAAAAGAAACTATGAAGAGTACACCAAATTGCAGTTCAATTCATGCATAAGCCTCTAATTAAAAAAAAACAACCAAGAGGGGGAAAAAAGCTAGTAACCATTTTATTTAAAATACTAGTGAAATATAAGACAAATTACAAGGCAATTCCCTCCTCATAAGTGGGAAAACCATCTTCTTAGTGTTTCAGTTACAGTAAATGAAGATTTATGCGATTTTCCAAGTGATATTATACTTCCCAGCACCCCCCAATTTTTTTTTTTTTCCAGTGTATTCAATATTTATAATACCAATGCAATAACATATTGACAGGTGAGACTGTGAAAAGTTTTAATTAAAAACTTACATCCTGGGCAACACTGTGAAATTCAAGGGCTGCTTGTAATAGATTTTGTCTGAATTCCAGCTGACTGGCCTGCCGGTAACACACGTCACTCAGCTGCTGCTGCAATGCCTTCAATTCCACAAGATCCTCCTCATCCCCTGCATTTAGAAGAGCTGCTATCTGCTGATTAAGCTCAACATAAACAGCAAACCACTCCTACAAATGCAAGAAAATTAAGTATTAAGATAGCACCAAACATAATTCTCTTTCTCTTAAAATGGCATACATCTAACTGCAGACTAATAAATAATCAGATTTTAAAAGAAACTTATTACAGCTTACGCTAATTATGAAATAAATCTCACAGAGGAGGAAAAAAACATTCCTAATTTCAAATCAACTAAAAAATGTTTAGTACATTTTAATGTATGTACTGTACTATAAAAAGAAAAGGTGCAGAAAGATGGGAAGATAACACAGCATGGCTACTAGCTCCCAGAACAAATCTCCTACTCAAACTGTCTTACTGAACCAACAGAAGAATTCCACTATTTTTAAACATATTTCTAATGCTTACATGGCTCTACTTCTAAAACAGAAGATATTTTGCAAAGGGGAAAGCTATCACAAAAAGCTGTTCATAAGACTATCTAGGTGTTGCTTTCAGTGACATGACAAACCTGGAATTTTATTTTTTAATACATTTAGAAAAAAATATTAGTTTTAACAAAGTGGAAGTAATCTCTATCTTCTGAATAAAACTGAGTATCCATGTACTTCAACACATAAAACAACAACTTCAAAATGATTGTTGTTTCTTTTTTAAAGAAAGCTTTATACTACTCAATTCAAAACGTGTAGATTTTTCCAAATGCTTTGATTACTGAATATATACGCAGGAGTTATGTTGTCACAGTGCTGTATTTGCAAAAAATAAAATAGTTCAAATATTTAAGAGTTCTGGAAGATTTAAAAACTACCTGATACATCAAGATCATATTCACATCTTGCATGACTGAGATGCCTGTAAACCAAAACACGTTTGCTCAACAGCTTTTATTTTGGCCTACAGTTAAGTGACCTTCAAATGCTCTAACGCTATGGAATGGCACCATCTATTGGCCAAAAATATCTGATTTAATTAATATTCTTGTCACATCCTATTGGGATGTTTGCTATTTTTTTAAATTATGCCTTCAGCTTTTGCATCATTTATTTACAAAGCATGCAAAACAGAGTATAAATATCCATATTCTGATTTTTTTTTTCCTTTTTACCCAAAGCTGCCTCTACCATCTGCTCACAGGAAGAAACGGAGTATGAAAATATGCAAGGAAGGGAAAAAAAAAAAGTAATGAAAAAGTTGAATTAGCAATCAGCCAAAAATTTCAGAGCAGAATAAATCTCTCATCTGCACTAAAAGGGGAAACTAAGATGACATAATATGGAAACATCTTCCATTGTCACATGTGTACTACAGATGTACAATAAACTCAGTTTACACAACATAACTCCTGTTATTACCTTTAGACCAGTGTAGTCTACGGCAGAGTGTTTCTCAGACTAAAGGTCTGGGTTGTTGTTTTTTTTCTAAATTATGTCAGAAAAATTATAACCCAGTGACTATTTTCTTTGTCATGACTGTAAAGGGAACTTAGGAAAAGTGGACAGAGTTGTCAATATCTACATCAAGGAAAGTGAGAAGAGAGTAGAAGCACTGTGACCAACACTCCCTTTGGGAACACTGAGTATTCATATCCCAGTTATAGTTAATCATCTGATAGAAAGACAAAATTCTACTGAACCTTAGGAATTCTTCAAAATTAGAAGGAAAGGCATAAAGTCAGTACAGTTACAAAACAGTCTATTTTTAATGGTCTCTTCTTTAAAAATCTGTTCTCAAGATTTCATTATGTACATACACCATATCTTAAGTCTTGATTAATGAAAACATTAAGCCAGTTTCAGTTACTGGTAAATGTAGTTTGATAAAGACAAAAATATTAACTCATTGACCTGAGAAGTACAGGACTTCCTAGCCATTTTTGGCAAAGAAGAAAAAGAAAATTTATTCCTCAAACTCAAAATGAAAATTTAAGAACAGCCGCAATATAACAAAACCAAGAAAAATTATAGATAGAAATCAGTATTTTCCTATACTGGAAAACAAAATAAATAACATGTACATATAATGACCATATTAAGTTCTTAAACTGTTCAGGTACTTTCCTCTGTAACCTGTAAAATCATGCACTATACAAAATTCCTAGATACTCATAACCAAAACACATTGCTCATAACTGCATGTACTTAGAATTATTTTGCTACTTGAAAAAGGTATGGAAAATCTCACACTGTGCTGACTCTCAATCTCTTCATGTTTCTGTTGTAAAGCTTGGGAAGCTCTGATTGAATCACCTATTCCCCACTGGGTTCTTAGCTGTTCTGATCCAGGTCCTTCAAGCCAATTGACTACCTGTCAATAAGATACAGATGACAAAGATAAAGTTGCAAATCAATTACACAAAACAGGTATAAAACTAATTTTGTAACGTAAGCAGAAATATTTCAAAGTCAGTACACATTTATGAAAAAAAAAAAAATCTTAGGATCCGTAGAAGTCTTTTTTGTTGAACCCATTCACATCTTCAAAAGCTTTGAGTAGACTACTTTTCATTAACCTTAAGCTTAAGCTCCACAAAAGCAGGTGGCAGCTAGCAAAAGACTTGTCACATACATAATTGTTACTTTGTATCTGTCAATAAAAGAGCTTAAAACACAATTTTCTTGATAATAGACCTCACGTTCAAGAATTTTTTTTGCCTAAGTGAATGACAATGCACAGCTGTATTCAGTCTCCCACCTGAGAGTCTTCTCCTTATTTAGTTGACTACATTAACACTGAAGTGCAGGATAGGTACTTTTTATGTCTTTCGACCTGCTCTATTCAAGTAACAGAAGCCTCTTACAGTCTCAATGGCCACATCTCATGCAATTTCCTTTGCAGAAATCTTTGCAGAGTCATGCCAATACAATTTTGGACTAGCGTATGGGATTTCTTTTATTATTATTATTTTGAAAATATTTCATTTTATGTTGGTATTATTCAAAGCAAAGCAGCGTATCTCAAATTTTGGGTTCCTTATACACATTTGAATTATCAGATGATATCTATGGCAAAATTTTATTATAAATTTTTAAATATCTAGAAAACAGAGACAGTAGTGATGAAACCTAGTGCAACAGTCACTTACACTTCAGGATGAAGTCCTGAGGTAAGGAAATGCAGGAATACCCCCACATTCTGAACCTTAATGAAAAAGCATAGGAAGCCAGCTTCCTTTCTTTAATGTGACTCTTGTTTAAACAAAGATGACAGAACAACTTCACACAGTTTTTCAGGAAGTATAATACAATACACAATGTAACACCATAACCACAAAGACAAATGAAAAAGGGACTAATTGGATCATTTTCCTAGTGCTGCTAGGTGACATTGCAACAGTAATGAAGAATGACCATCACCATTACAGAAGGTCACTCGATTCACCCCACTTTTTAGCCATCATGTCTGTGTCTTCCCATTCCTCTTTTTCACCACCCCAGCCCCATCCAAAGAATATATTCAGAGCATATATTCTTTGCTCCAGAACCACCCTGAATCTTCCTTACTTTTATCATTTCTAGGACAAACTAAGAATTTACAGTTCTATGTTCTTTTTGTTTAAAGAGAAACTTCCTGTTGTGCTCAGCACCTCTGCACAGCTGTTTCTGGTTAAATATGGAATGGCCCTGGAAGTGAAGGCACCCAGATGTCCCTCTGTAACCCCAGTGTGGCTTCAGTGTTTCCTCACATATGGAAATGACAGTTCTATGCAAGCCTGAAACATGGTGCAGGACTACTGCTTTGCAGTGCCCTTTCTGACCAAGACCACCTCCCCACCACCAGTTCCCAGCAACTACTGCATTGCTGTGACTGTGTGCCACCTCTGCCTGAAGAGGGACAAAGCCAGAATTTATCACATACCATACAGACTTGCTCATTAGTAGTCTGTTTAGCAGAACTGCTTATCAGAAAAGGCCTGGAAATCATTGCCAGCTTTACACTGCAGAATGGAAGATGAAGGAATGGGAAACAAAACTGTGTAACAGAAGAGGAGAGTGGTAGTTAAAAAGAGGGCATAGGATATTAAAGGTACAAAGGAAGAGAGGTCGTTATGGTAAGAGGGCTTTAGACAGGACTAAGAACTACGCACTTCACAGCGAGCAAAAGCAGCAAATAGTGAAAAATGAAACAGGAACACAAAAGCAGGCCAGAGTGATTAGCAATATAAGCAGCTATACAAACAATGAAATAGGAGTGAACTGCAATGAAAGCTAGCAGGAAATCAAAACACTAAAAAAAAGCAACACAAGAGAAAAACTTTCTATGTACACTCCCATTCCAAATGAAACTACTGCAAGCATGTTGTACTGCAACTTCTGTTTGTTTTGGCAAAATAAATTCCACAGCACTTTGCCTCTACTGGTTTCCTCCAGCCCATCAATTTCTCCTTACTTTTCTCTGTCAGCCTAATCTTCTCCCGTAAACCAAAAGGAAACTAAATCAATTTCTAGATTTAATAAGTTTTTCCTCATACATTTGCATGCCGTTTAGAGATTTTAAATGCACTTTATAAAACTTATTAGCATAGTAAAACAGCAAAACATGTTTTTCCTGTGTACTGAGACTCAGTTCACTTAGGTTGTAGCACCCATAGCGTAAACAGAGAAACAAAAAAACTATTCTAATAAAAATACCGCAAAATGAAACTGATATCCCAATAAACAAGTCTATTTAATTGCATTAACAATGCCAATTTGCCAAAGTACATTACAAATTTTGTTTCAATCAGAAAATCTTTTTCAACCACTATAATTTTAACACTAAAAAAACCCTCACCTGATTAAATCCACGGCTGTGCTAATACATTCTATGTAGTACTATTTTCAGCTCTTACTTATTTTTATTATTTCCAGCTCAACATATCAAAAGACAACATTTGCTTTTAAAATTTTTTTTATAACCATCTGAACTACTATGTAAGTGAAAAATATCTACCTCAGTAGATTTATATTTTCACTGCTCGAAATAACAAGGTTGATTATTTTTTATCTTTTCACATACCTGGAACACTGTACAAGTACTTGACTTGCACTCCTCATGCATTAGAAATGTCAATGCTGAAAGGTTAAAAGCAATATCCATTTCATTTTCTGCATATTCAAACTATACAGAAGCTTGAAAACATATAAATCTAATTTCAAGTAATAAACACAAGAGGAATAAATTAATTCAATTTTCTTGATTTTTCTCTACTGAGGCTCTGCTGAGAAAATGTTTAAAGTCCTAATTACATGCCTGTTTCCAAAGGACCAAACCAATTTATTGTGACCTTTAGAAAGTTACTGTGATAGCCACAATGTAAAGCACACAGCGAAACTAGCACACTGCAGTTTGAGGAGTGAAAGGAGACATGAAGCTCTCACCTCTTGATTCTTAGGTTTGTAAGAAACACAGTCTGGGACTTGAGCTCAAGCCACTGGCTCACAGTATTCAAGAACTCCAAGCTTACCTGCATTACCTTCTGCTGAATCTCCTCCAGCTGCGTGCGCTTGCTACGCTGCCTGCAGACTTCCTGGTAGCGGGTATATTGCTCTCTGAGCGAGTCCAGTAGCTTCATGACCTGTGGCTGAGCAAGTAGTTCATCATCCATTGGAGACCAGGATACCCCTCCATCTGAACCATTGAACCGACGCTGTTGTAACTCAGATAGTAACTCATGACCTTGAAGAATACATATAATGATGTGGTTAATTTAGATTCAAAAGATAAGCAAAAAATTATTAGTAATCATGCCTGCTTTTAGACCATTCAGTGGTACATTTTTGCAGCTAGTAATTGTGGGGTTGTATTTGTCATACCATAGGGTAGAAATCACATGATATATTTTATTTTAGATATATAAAGGAGATACTGTGACTAACATTCATATCAACAATAGCACTGATCAATGTAGAGAAACAATTGCAAGGCACAATTCTGAGACTAAAACAACTGTAAGTATTCTGGTTTACTTCAAAATACTGTGTAGCATCTGAAGTATTTCTCTCAAACAATTCATATTCTTAAATGAATTATTTGGAAGCACTAAAACTGAGCATATAATATCTCTTATCTTTCAGGATTTTTATAGCAAGTAAAAAATTTCATAGAAAGTGTGAAGCTGAATCCTAAGTATTTTGATCAATATTTTTTCTCACTTTTCTCACTCTTTTCTTTGTGCTCTTAAGCACAATATCAGGGTACAGAATCTGTATAACGACTTTCATAGATGCAAAACCAGTACATTTTGATTGCTTAATCCTCTATTTAAACTGTTTGAAGAATGTTACTGTTAAGTTGTGGTAAAGTTTTCAGGAGGTAAACACCATAACATCGCTAAACCAAATTTGTTCTCCAAAAGCTCAATGAACAAGTTAACAAATAAAACAGTGATTGGTCACTAAAGAAACATTGGTATGAAAGTGAAAATCTGCCAATTTCACATCATCAGTTCTGCAGGTCTTAAAATAGTAACATGCAAGTCCAATAAAAGAAAAAAAATTAACAACTAGGATAGCAATTGTAATATCTCAGGGAAAATGCAGAAATATAGATTCTAAATTCAACTGGTATTATCTAGACAATCAAAATGCCAAGGGCTTTGGAGATTGGAACAAGCAGCTTTAAATTCTCAGCGTATATTATTGTGAAATGAACGTGTCTTAAGAATTCAAATACATTTTGCCATACTATGGAAATAAACATCTTTCGTAGTACTACAGAGATGGGCACAATTAGCTGCAGAGCAAAGACTTTAAAGGTTTTTGCAAGTCATAGCTCTACTAGGATAATTTTGAATTTTTATTATATTGTTTCAGAAGTTAGTACTAACATTTTCAATAGAAAAACTTCTTTTTTAAAACTAGATTCTTATAAAATTCTATGAACTATACTTCATACGTAGATTTGGAGCCTGTGAAAGCAACAGTACTTGTAACTATGGAAGACAGAAACTTTATCTAAAACCGCAGTTTATTCATATTTACCCTTAAGAGATGGAAAAGTTTAATTGGGGAGAGTTTCATTTTTTATTCTCAAACTTTCAATACAGTGAATCTATCAAAGAGAAAGGTTGCCTCTTAGGAACTTCCATGATTTAATGAAAGTTATTAAACTTCACAGCTCAAAAAAAATTCATTATGCCATAATTAAGAAAACAGAGAATGCATATAAACTAATGCTCTTGGGAGCCATCTGCTTATAACAAATTGAAATGTTGTTTTGTACAAAAATCTTACTATTAGACGATACACAATTAGACTAAAAACCTAGTGCCAGTGTCTACAGACACTTCATATTTTAAAAACTTTAAAGACCACAGCAAGGAACTATTATTTCACCTTTTAACTCAAACACATGTAAATAAGGTAAAATTTTATGTAGAGGGCATATAAAGCCAGTAGTTCTCTGTGGCAAATATTACATGGGATCCACACACTAGTTTGTAAGAGGCTGTAAGATAAGGATTCTGAGCACTCAGACTCTGATCACCACCTTAACGCTATGAATTACTTCCTATTCTACAAAGGCACAAATTGTTAAGCAAATTTCCATTCCAAATCAACAGTCTATTATATGTTATTTTCCATAGGAAATTCACCCTAAGAAAAGATTTCAATTCAAAAAACCCCAAATTGTTTAATGCTGAAGGGAGAATCTAAGCAGCAAAGAGTCAGAAGACGGTATTCATTGCTTTTACCAATGGTCAGGTCAGAACCAGGCTGACATAAATTATCAGAATCATGTAGGAAATGCTATCTATATTGTAACCATTTGGTGGCTACCAAGACAAATTCATTCTATAAGGCCAACACACTGATATAATCAAGAAACAATGTATTCTCAAAATTAAAGGTATTAATTATGGTAATATCGTAAAGATGTTATCAAGATCATGAAAAACCGTATTTTAAAAGACACATTTGCAGTTCTTCCATTTATTTGTTGACATCACTTTTTTTTAAGCCAACAAAGATGACATTTATTGATAAGCTTATTATATTGTGAAGATGGCTAAAATAGTTACTGTGCCCTCTGTACTTTCATTTGGGGGTTAGAAATGAATAAGGTTTATTGACCAACTTTAAAATTTTTTGACTTACTATACCTGTCTGCAATACTGTCTCAGGATCAACTGATGGAAGAAAGTTCAAATCTATTGATCTTGAACAAAACAACAAAAACATCATTAATAATAATAAACAAGTAACAAACATTATTAATAATTTATATTACAGTAGCACTAAAAACTTCAACTAAGGCAGGAG